CACCCATTGCCTCCCCAGCCCTCCACTGCGTTCCTAGGACCTCAGGCTCATCCTAACACCGGAAGAGCATGGCCCCTTGGCCCCATGTAAACCTCTTCCTTCCTTCCATCCCCCTGTGAAGCCTCTGGTCCCTCTCCTGTAGCTCTAGGCCTCTCCCCACCCATGGTCTGTGGTCTCCTCCAGTTCCTGTCTCCTAGTAGCATGTGACTTGTCCCAAACTCCAAGTCACGGACTGAGGCAGCACAGGTGGAAAGGCCTCATGGGAGAGTGAGTGTCTTCTGCTGGGCTAAGCTGGCCTGAAATTCCAGAAGGCCCAGAATGTGTTGGAGGCTCTGGGAAATGCTCTTGCGGCCTGCATCCCTCGGCACTGGTGCATTGGCCAGGGTCCAGCTTTGGTCAGAGAATGGAGTGGAGGTCAGGAGGGGAGCTGCCACATTTTGGCTTGATGGCATTCCTTATCTCTTCAGTCCCCATCTGTCCGTCCATCCGCTCGTCCATCCATCCATCATCCATCCAGCTTGCTGCCCATCTATTTGTACACTCATTCACTCAGCAGTCCATCTGTCTTTCCAGCCATCACCAAGCATTCATTCATCGTTCCTTCCATCTGTCTTTCTATTTATTACCCATCCATTTGTATATCTGTCTGCACGTCCATCTGTCTGTCTATATTTATGCATCCATTTTTCTATCTATCTATCTGTCCAGTCATCTGTAAATCCAGTCATCTATCCATCTGTCCCATTATCTGGCCATTCATCCATCTATTCACATGGTGTGTCTTCTCTGAGCACTTACCAAATGCCCGGCCCCGTGCTCCGATGGATGCCTGCCCTCAGTCCTACAGCCTGGCTGCCACTGCCCGCATGTGTCCCCAGACCCCCAGCTTGCAGCAAGAAGAACCCATTGGCCAAGTGTGATGGGCTCCCCCTCCCCATTGCCTCCTGGCCCTCAGGACGTGCTGGAGCTGGAGCGGACGCTGGGTGGCTATCTAGTGGAGGAGCCCAAACCCCTGCTGTTTAAAGACAGTTACCACAACCTGCGCCTCTCTCTGCACGACATCCCCCATGCCCACTGGAGAAGCAAGCTGCTGGCCAAGTACCAGGTGAGGGCTGGGGGAGGGGAATGAAGCTGGGGAGGGGGGAACATTTGAGGGGCTGCCCAGGGAAGACCAATGCCCCTGCCCAGGCCTCGGCCCTGCCTCCTTCCTCTAGGCTTGCCCCCGCCCCCAGTCTGTCTCCCTCCCACCCCACTCTTCACGCTCCCAGTCGTCCTGAGGCACAGCCCCACGCTCCGTGCCCACCCCATGGCACACTCCCCCACACAAATGTCTACACGCGTCATCTTCAGAGAGGCCTTACCATCTCTAAGAGTGTTCATGCCTGGCAGACCGTGCAGAGGACTCTCCAGTGGTCACGTCCCTGTGCCTGCACCTATCCGCACAACACCATTGAGTCTGCAAGGCTTCCAGCCCAGACATACATGCGCACACACACGCGTCCACGCATGCACACCCTTGCACACACACTCACGCATCCAGACTTGTGCCTTCTCCCCCATATGCTCCCTTTCTCAGCTGAAGGGCCCTTGACCAGCTCCTCTTCCTCTGCCTGTCCGGATGGAGAGGCCTGCACTGCCCACTGAGAGGTCCCCGCGCTCCCCGAGGCTGGCCTCATCACCAGCCTCTGAGGGCAGGGCAGGCTCGCCTCTGGTCCTTGACCCTGCCGCCCCTCCCTCAGGAGATCCCCTTCTGTCACATCTGGAGTGGCAGCCAGAAGGCCCTGCACTGCACCTTCACCCTGGAGAGGCACAGCCTGGCCTCCACAGAGCTCACCTGCAAGATCTGTGTGCGGCAGGTAGAAGGGGAAGGCCAGATCTTCCAGCTGCACGCCACGCTGGCAGAGGTGAGGCCAGAGGCCAGACCCTCTGTGGGGCCGGGGGGGACAGCGTTCAGACCCCCATGCTCCCCCCTCAGCTGGGGGGGAGTGCTGTCTCCTGTAAAGATGTGTTCCCTTCACCTCCCAAGTCTGAGCTGGGACCTGCGTGGTTCTGCTCAGAGCCACCACTTGCTGTGCCTGGCCTGTAGCAACATCTAAGTCAGAGAGTGGGTTTTAGGGAGGACAGAGACCATCAACCTTGGATCCGGTCAGCACTTGGCCCAGGCCTGCGGTTCTCCCCCACTATGAATCCAGACTGAGGTTTACGACACCCAGGCCACGCAGGACAACAGTGCTAGAACCTCCTTGCAGCATGGTGTCAAGAACACTGTCCATGGGCCCAGGCCCCCCTCTGCCCCGACCTTGGCATGCGACCCTGGGCACGTCACCTCCCCTTTCTGACTTCATTTCCACACGTGTAAAAGTGGTCCTGTGTGGACTAGACCGTGGCTGAGGCTCCCTGTGGCTTTGTAATCACAAGAGGGCATCAGCATTAGCCTGGGCCAGTGCGTGAGCATGGTGCGCCCCGAGGGCTGGGGGTTGGGCATGCAGCCCTGGCCCTTGGAAGCTTCCAGGCGAGGAGGTCTTTGACTGGGCAGCTGGAGCCTGCCCAGAGCGTGGGGAGTGACCGGAACCTCCGTGAGCTCACAGTCCCCGGGCAGGAAGGTTGGAGGGACAGATGCCAGTGCTGTGCAGGGGC